CAAGAAGTCTGGTGTGAACGTGAGAATCCGCGAAGATGATGGGATGCCAATCACTAACATCCATCGACGTCTTGAACGATGGTCAGAATTCTTCGGAGGGCAGTTCAAATGACCTGCCGCTCCGGCAACATCGGTCAGACTGTCCTGCCCTCCATGACTGGTGACGACTGATACACCAAATGAGACGGAAGTCCACAAGGAAATCCAACACTTGAAGAGCTACAAATCGCCGGGCCCAGATAACCCACCACCGGCTCTTTTTAAAGATGGTGGTGACTTTCTGGCCAAGGAACTGACTGTGTTGTTTAAAAAGGTCTGGAAGCTAGAGAGTGTACCAACGTCATGGAATGAGTCGACAGTTGTCCCTATCTTTAAAAATGGTTCACGTCGTTTCTGTAACAACTATCAGGGGATAAGTCTACTTTCGATTGCGTCCAAGCTATTGGCTTCCGTCATACTTCGTAGGTTGTTCAAAACCCGAGAAGGATTGACTCGCGAGGAGCAGGCTGGGTTTCGTTCCGGTCGAGAATGTATTGATCATATCTTCACTCTCCGCCAAATGTTAGAAAACCGCCATACTTATCAAAGGCCAACAATCGTAGTGTTTCTCGACATTAGGGCTACCTTCGATTCGTTAGATAGGACTGTTCTCTGGGATTGTCTATTGAAGAAGGGTGTGCCTGAGAAGTTTATTAACATCCTAAAAGCCCTACATACAAACACCTCAGTCAGAGTGAGGGCATACAACCACCTCTTTCCATTGTAAAAGTTCGGATCTACAACGCGTCAGTGAGAGCAGCTCTGCTCTATGCTTGTGAAACCTGGCCTCTCCGAGTTGAGGATGTTAGACGACTATCTGTGTTCGATCATCGCTGTCTCCGAAGGATTGCTGACATCAAGTGGCAACACAATGTCAGTAATGCAGAGGTCCGGCATCCTGTGTTCGGGCACAGAGACGATAATCCAATTGTTGTCACCATCTTGAAACATCGACTTCGGTGGCTTGGACATGTTCTACGAATGTCATCCCAGTGAATTCCACGTCATGCACTATTTGCCGACTCTGGGACTGGTTGTAAAAAGCGGCGAGGTGGTCAGTGTATGACGTGGTATTTAAGAAAGTTGCAAAGGGCTGGCTTGTGTTGGTCCTTCATGACTCCCTGGCTGAGGTCCGAGAGATGGTGCGACTTAGTGGCTAGAAATGTTATCAGATATGGCTTAGAATAGAAGCCATTGGCGATCCTGCTGTGACCTTCTTTTACTTTCTTCATAAAAGTGGTTGTATCTTCCTTAACTGAAAGATTTCTTCTAATTGTACCTTTCCGTTTCCCCCATTATTATTATTATTATATCCCAGTGATGATTAAACTAGAGGTAAATTTCGAGGACTATTAATGGACTAATATACTATAAATATTCATATTGTATAATTATTCAATAATTACATTATGTATATTTATACTCCACTTATTATAAACTTTTACTTGACCACCCATAGATTATTACTATACGATTTATTATTCTTGAGTTATGGTCTGTCTATTAGCTACTGCCTCCCGTGTTCACAGCCACTTTTTGGCTTATTTGTGTACAAATGTTATTCTCTATTTTATGGTACGTTGTGGTCGGTCTGATTGATATATAAACTGAGTATGTCTGAGATAAATGGCTCGATTCACATTACAGAAGCCGGTATTGTGTTCTGGACTAAAGCGGACGGGATAGGAGGACATAGGACCAATTAAGGACGCTAGACTGCTCAGACCGGTTGAACGTCATTGGTTTTGTTATAGTGCGAGTATTCTAATTGGTGGATAAGTCACGTGATCGTAAGCCGGACATAAAATCATTACAATTATTATTATTACACTACCTTACACTAATCTGTTCGTTAATGTTCTTTTTTTTCTCTCCCTATTCTCATTGTTTTGTGTGGTGCATATATATATTTGGTGCCCTCTTGTACCAATATTTGTGTTCAAATAAATAAATAAACACTATTATATATATAAAGAGTAGATAAGAGAATCCTATGGAACTTCCTTTGACACTATCATGTACTTCGGAAGATCGTCAACATCACACGGAATCCATACAATGGACTACAATTCAAATCCATGCGTGGAGGACAGATGCATTATAAGTGAGGACAGAAGTCAGACAAGGTTGCCTGCTCTCCCCCTTACTCGTAGTTCTGGTGGTCAAGTGTATTATGAAAACCTCCACATCTGACGGGAAGTACGGAATACAATGGATAGCTCAGAACCAAATAGACGATTTGGACTTCGTATATGACCTAGCCATCCTAACCCATACATACGAACAAATGAAGATGAAGACAACTAGTGTAGCAGTAGCCTCTGCATCAGTAGGCCTCAATATACATAAAGGAAAAAGCAAGATCCTCAAATACAACACGGAGAACACAAACCCAGTCACACTTGATTGACAAGCTCTGAAAGATGTGAAATCTTTCAAGTACTTGGGAAGCATAATATATGAACAAGGAGGATCGAATGCAGACGTAAATGCGAGGATTGACAAAGCAAGGACAGCATTCCTACAATTGAATAACATGTGGAACTCAAACACAACTGTCTATCAACCAATATCAAAGTCAAAAACTTCAATGCGAACGTCAAGACAGCTCTACTGTATGGAGCTGAAACGGAGAACCACTACAACTATTATCAAGTAGGTGCAAGTATTTATCAATAGTTGTGTACGTAAGATATTCAACATCGGTTGGCCGGATACCATCAGCAACAGCGTACTGTGGGAGAGAACAAACAAGCTTCCAGTCGAAAAGGAAATTAGGAAAAGCCATTGGAAGTGGATAGGATACACATTACGGAAATCACCAAACTGCATCACAAGGCAAACGCTAACTTGGAATAATGAATGGAAACGGAAAAGCGGAAGGCAAAAAACACGCTACGTTAGGAATTGGAAGCAGACATGAAAAGGATGAATAGCAATTGGAAAGGAATGTCAGGGACAGAGTTGGATGGAGAATTCTAGTGTTTGGCCTATGTACCTTGACGAGGCATAAGTAATTAACTATTATATATATTTATATGCCAGAATTTCTCACTTTTGTCAATAATAGCCTTAGTTTGGAATAAATCGAGCAATCCTAATACACCTTCCATTTATTTATCTGAATATCTGTCGAAGAAAGTATACAAATTCATTCTGTCACACCACACTGATTATGAGAAGAAACATTTCATCCAGGCATTTGTTTACCATATTAACTAATACTCATTCAGATTTATTTGTCGTAATCTTTAATGATGACAGTTTTCTCGAAAAGACATTCCAAGTAATGGTGAAAGACGGTCGTTTAAGAATTCTTTAACTGATTTCAATCACAATTTAGTTTCAAAACTGGTTGGAGTGAATATAGACACAATTCACTGTGGGGTGTGCTACTGATATAGACAGATATAAGTAGTATAAATTATCAATCAAAAGTTAAAGGCCTGGAGACAGAAGGCTAAGAAGATCGTAGGAAAGAGAACGAGAACAGAGGATAATTAGTGTGGAAACGATGAAACAATCAAATCTGAGATGATTGATTGACATTTTACAGATGAAGTATGTATTGTATGGTTTAAAGATTTTATTAAGTAATTCTGTAATTTGGTGCTCAAATACATTCATTTGTCCTAACTGGTGTTCTCATGCCTTACAAACAGCATTTAACGAAAACTCCTTAAAAGCTCTAGAAACACAATAGCATGTTCTAAGAAGCTTACAAAATGACAAGGTCACTCATGAACCTATAAAAATTCTTGTCAATGAGACTACAATCTATACACGAATCCATCAGATTTAGGATAACAGGTTTTGAATTTTGATGCAAAATTCATTCAGCTAAATAGTATTTTTGCAATTTTAAATGATATCAGTTTGTGATGAAAACCCTAAATCGAATTTCTCACACTGGTTTATAACCCTCATTTAGTCCTAGGTACAGTCTTAGGTGGACACTTTAAAGGTCACTTAAGCGTCACTCCACGATCGTCCATAAATTATAGTCTCATCCTGAGAAATGCGGCAGCGCTTAGAAAATCATTATCAAGCGTTCGAGTAGCAGACTTATCAGTTAAGAAGTTTTGATTGATATACTTGAAAAAAAACAGTCCATGTAGACGAATATACAGCTTAATGTTTATGGTTTACTCATCCCTGTTCGTATTTGACCTATTTTTTTCTTCTGTAAGGAGAGTCTAAATCAACAATATGGACGATATTTATTCAGTAAATATAATGTCATGATAACGTGTTTAAGAACCATTTCAATTTATTCGAAATTTCATGTACTTAATCAACCGGATCTATTCTGTTAAGGAAGTTATTGTTACTTACTAATCGTAAGGTTAGCCATAGCATTATTCAGATAACCACTAGCTTATCTAATAGAATAGTAACTAATTGGATAAAGAGATGGTGTTTTAAAACGAGCGGTATTGATTACGAATTCTGGAGTGAACATCAACTCTGAGATACAGGCATATCTAGCTGATAAGTTCAAAGTAAGATGAAACATGCTTCCTAGATTCCACTGTTACCCATCACCCATCTCTGTTTAGAATAATTTAACATTTTCAAGCTATTATACTATACAGATAAGATAAATTTATATTTTTTGATTGAGATCATGAACCGATTGATGTTAGACCACTATTAAAAACCTGGAAGCACTGGATGACTCGTTCGTGTGCAAGACTGAAGGCCTTGGGTTCAAATCCCGCGAGCGGGATCGTGGATGCACACTGCTGACGAGTCCCACAATAGGACGAAACGGCCATCCAGTACTTCCAGGTTTTCAATGGTGATCTAACATCAATCGGTTCATGATCTTAATCAAAAACTTGACAATCTCCACAACACCTAAATTGATATATTTATTCTATTTAGAATTTCTTATTATTACACACAAGATATTGTACAAATCCATAATATAAATATACATATACATATACTGAAGTGTATTATTTCTCAATATCATAGTTATCATTCATTTCATCTGTTAAAATCTGTTCATCTTCTTCAACATTTTCAGATTGTATAACATGATCATTGGTATTAATGGTTGATAATCCAATAACTGGACTTACTATTTCAGCTGTAACACTAGAACGCCAATAACCATTAGGATTAGAATAAGAATTCAATCGACCAATAATACATAATCGATCACCTTTAGTTAAATGTTTCACTTTATCCACAAATGATTGATTAAAGACAAATACACTGTAATCAATGGTGATGTGTTATTTTGTAAAAAAGAAAAACAAAGAGAAAATAAATAGAGGAAACTTGAATAGATTTCAGATGGTATAGTAACATTTATTATAGTAAAAACAAGTAATAATTAGAATAATACTACCGTTACTTATCTCCATGTTAAAGTGTAAAATTAAGCTTACATGAAAGAATTCGATGTTAAAACTTAAGAACAATGAAAAGAATTCCCAACAGTTTTTTAACAAGTATGATATTTATGTCACCTTGTTAACAATAGATTCGCCCCCAAATGTCCTGGTACGACCGAGAGTGGGGAAGAGGTTGGAAGAAAGTTAGGGGCGGACAGACCAAAACATGGCAGAAATCCATGAAGTCACTGACAAGTGGACTGAGTCATGTTGGTAGGTGTAGACTACCTGGTTGGGGACCGCGAGATAATAGCAACCGATGGTTAGAGACCTTGAATGACATAGCTCAAAATCGTTTGCAATGGCGCAGGTGCATCCACTATTTGTGTTCTCTCAAACTCTAATCTTCTGAATTCTTCATGTCCTTTATTTTCTTTCCCAATTTATTCCACTGGACTATATGCCTTTAATAACATCATCAAACCTTAATGTCCCCTATCTCTACTTATACTTTCAGTACCTCTACCACTATGGGATTTGAATCGATAACTGAATCTCTGTGCTAATGTGGTATGGCAACTCGAACTCATTTACGTACGTGCGAAGTTCCACGTTGTTACTGACTGACTGACTGACCGAGAGTGGGGAGAGACCGCTCACCATCTCGAAATGCTCTCACATGGCCACGCGTATATAGCTTCTGACAAGGAAGTCCTACTCACTGCCTTCTCGCACCACGGGTGTTGTTTACGAAATTGAGAGGACGAAAAGCGAATTTCCGGCGCTTTAACCGGATCTCAAAACAATGGTGCACATGGGCTGGCTCCAGTATCGTGAGGGAACAAATGGCATATGAACCAATCGCTGGTCACCGGTTACCATGGGACTGCATCTCCTTACGATGCTCCACCACCTTGTGGATCAGACGTTTAGGTCGAAGGCTCGAGGTGTGGTCCCCTACGAAAACCACCTGCTTCGGTCTGGGCACCCTTGCAGTATCACAGCCCACACACAAATAAAATGTTGTATGGGGCATATATATTTGGTTCCTCCTTGTACCAATATCTATGTGTTAAAATAAATAAATAAATAATAATAGATTCACTAGAACAGTCAGCTAATTAGTCAAGTGCACCTAAGAACATGGTGTAGACAGATTCAAATATCAATGACATGTTAGTCATGCGGAGGATAGGTAACATAAATTCAGGCATATTGACGATAATTCAATTAGTATCACCAACTTTGATGGCTTGGACGTGTACCACAAATGTCATTCTAGCGAACTTCACAACGTGGGTTACTTCTGTATCTCGGAAGTGGTTGATAAAAGTGGAGAGACGGTCAATTTATGACACAATGTTGTGGCATGAAGGAAAACTGTACAGGACTAGCATATGTCGGTCTTTTAAGACAGCCTAAATGAGACCTTAGGGACAGTGTAATACAGTTGCTTGAAACATTATCAGATATGGCTGAGGATAAGATTCAGTGATCGTTTTGTAATTTTCTCTTACTTTCCTTCAAAACATTGAAACTTATTTAACTGAAAGTCTTTTCTGGTTGTATTTTTCCTAGCCAAACTGCTTTTCTCTTATGTTTTACTTTCATTCATTTATTTTCATCCTTCTTTTTGTTTTTTTACGATTATAATCATCTTCCTTTCTCTATCTCTTCACTCTCTCATTTTCTTATTGTGACATAGATATATTTTGGTGCCCCTTTGTGTCAGTAATTGTGTTTAAATAAATATATAGGCACAGAGGTGAAAATTTCAGGGTCAATCCTAGAGTACTACATGTAATAATAGCCTAATAGTGGTAACAGAAAACATTACGCAACAAAGGTACGATTTCAAAGTAGAAAATTTAAGTTAGTGGAAAAATATATTGTAAGGTTGTAAAGATTATAGGGAAGATAAAAAGTGAACAAACTTGCACCACCACGAACGATTTTGAGCTATATCAGCCAGTCTCTAACGATTGGTTACGTCAGTCAGCTCTAGAGGTACCTGAAAAGGAAATTGGATTAGAGGTGGTCATAGTAACCTGAGAGAGTGACCACAGTGCCCAAGGGACAGATGCTTGAGATCGGTCACACACGACCTTTCGTTTAGGGTTTTTGTGTTAGCTCCGTATTTGTTGAGACCTTACCGCAGCAGACGGATATCCGTGGGATAAGTCGAGATATGCATTTTTAGGGTCGACCTTTTCTAACCCCACCCCTCCTTGTGGGAAGGCAGCATCGCTGTTATGCTGGTTGTCTGAAGGAAACACCTTACTGCTGTCACACCTCTGTACAGTCAGCAGTACGACTTCGCCTTCGGACCTTGAATTTGTTGCTTTTAGTCTTACCACTCTTCATTCAACCGACCTGTCTGGCATGGTAGGACTTTAAGGAACGGTTGTTCCAGCCAGTATAGCTTAGTTGCTTCATCATGATAGGCAATCCCGACCACCACGTCAAGGTAGCAACAACGGTCGGGCATTACTAATCATAATCTTCTTATCACTTAGCAGTTAAGTTGACTAAATAGTAATACCAGCAATTTTTACACATCGTACACTAGATTCAATTATTTTGACTGTTCTATTAAAGCACTAAAATTAAAATGAGATTACGATTGAAGAATATATATATGTTACTGTAATCAATTTTAATCCATATCACTTGACGTTTTCAATGATTGATAACGGTGCCTGCTTAGACTCTAATCAAGACGTATAGACCACTGGACGTGGTTTATTGAAACAGCCACTAACTTTACGAAGTGATGTAGTGTTTTGTTTGGTCAACCCGGATTTTTTTCTTGCTTACTTCCATACTACCGAACATTAAATGTTGACGTGTGTGTTTACAATATCCCAATTAACGAAGGCCAATACCTTTATAAGTTAATTTACCGTCTTTACCTAGTAAACTCTGTCTAACCTGAACAAACATATGAATATGAATGAATACTGATATGATGTCATTTTTGCCGAGAAGGCTAGTGTGATGCTCATTCTTCTAGGGCTAGCGATGATGGCGATTTTACTGTCATGAAGTATGTTATATATCCAATACAATGTCTTATTATTCACATTATAAACCAATTCAGTTTGAGAGCTAATTGTCAGCCTGATTATTAAATATAATGGCGAAACATGATTTTAAGGAAAATGAGAACTAAATACACTAGTAAATACTTTAACAATGTTTAAGTTAAACAAACAGCAGTAATTAATTAATAAACTACAATAACTCGTTTATCAGGCACAGATTCATGTATCTGATTTCAAGCCACAATCTAAGTCTAAATGATAGTGATATTACCGGTTATCAATTCGAAATAGCATGGTTTACGGGCTGAAAAGTCAAACGCACTAACCACTACTATTAAGCTTCAAAAAATAGTCATTTAACTATGCAGTAGTAACAATGATTATGGCAATAATAATAATAATCTTGAAATAGCAAAAACTATGTTGATTGATAATATAACTAGCTTATTAGAGCCTCCAAATGCACCTGTATGGCCGAGAGTGCGGGTAGCCAGCTCTCTCTCTCTCTGTCTCAAAATGTTCTCATATGGCCACGCGCAAGCGACCACTGCCAGGGAAGTCCTATTCACTGCCTTCTCGCGGCAGGGCTATTGTTTACGAAATTGAGAGGACGAAAAGTGAATATCCGGTTCTTTAAACAGGTCGGTGGACACGAAGGGTCCACCCAGGAGAGTTGGAAAACTCTGATTCCATGGGGTCCAGGATCCCGAAGGAAAAAAATAGCATATGAACCAATCGTTGGCCACCGATTACCATAGGACTGCATATCCCGACGTGGCTCCACTACCTTGTGGATCAAACCTTTAGGTCAAAGGCTCGGGGAGTAGCCTGCTTCGATTTGGACAACCGGACAGTATCCCAGCCCTCATGCAAATCGAATGATTTATGTGGCGTATATCTATATGGTATCTTCTTGTATCAATATTTATGTGTTTAAATAAATAAACAATTAATTAGAGTAAACTTACGTATGAAAAGCTAAGGTAGATGAATATCCATTATCAGTCATATAATTATTTCTCGTTACTAATCCAATAGATGCATAGGCATTTTTACCATTAACGCTTTCACCAAAATGTAAAAAACTCACTTTACCAAACAGAACTACCTGCATGAAAATAAACAATAATAATTAGGAAATTACCTGATTTATATCATCTGATAATGTGTTAACTTGACGATAGGATAAGTTTCCAAGTGTTTTAAATAGTTTTGAAAACTTATGAGATATATTCATAGGATTGTACCAAATCATCTATAAATTAAAATTTTCATTTAAAATTATCAGTTCAATTAGAATAGAGTATTAAAAGAGAATATTTGAGTCACAAGTTGAAAGATTAAATATGAAAACTATTGAAGAGAATATTAATGAACTTCAAAATGTGTGATTAATAACACAATAAATTGTCTCCAAATGTCATGGTATGGCCGAGAGTGGGGAGAGTCAGCTCTGTGTGTGTGTGTGTGTGTCTCGAAATGCTGTCAGATGGCCACGTGCATACAACCACTACCAGGTAAGTTCTACTCACTGACTCTTCGCCAGTGGAGTGTTGTTTACGAAATTGAAAAGATGAAAAACGAATGTCCGGCAATTTGACCGAGGTCAGTGGATATGGAGGATCCACCTATGAGAGTTGAGAAACCATGATTACAAACAAATGATGCACATAGGCTCCAGGATCCTGATGGGACAAATGACATATGAACTGGCTACCATGGGGCTGCATCTCTTGACGTTGCTCCACTGCCTTTTGGATTAAACCTTTAGGTTAAAGGCTCGTAGAGTGACCTCCAAAGAAAACCACATGCAATATCCCAGCCCTCATGCAAATCGAATGATTTATGTGGCGCATATCTATTGGATGCCTTCTTATACCAATGTTTGTATTTAAATAAATAAACACAATGAATTCACTTGTGTGTTGTTATCATTTTATTTATTTCACATTCTTCATTCGATTAATACATTCAATATTCATATTTTACGAACTGCTGTTATGCAGTGAAACGAAGCATTGACATTCAGTTTACTTATAAAATGTAGAAGTACCATGAATGACTGATAGATATTACAAAAAACTCCTACTAAAGCAATTGTGGCATAAAAGTGAAGAACTGAAAATTAATCTCGGTTAGAATTGTCTCTCAACGACTAAGAAATTAAACACAAGGAGATTTGTTACTTGACTTTAAACACCTCTTAACTAAAACAGTAATATAGATAGAGTATTACTATTAACTACCGTTGAAGGGATTAAGATAACTTACATATTAATATAGCCTGGCAACATAAATATTGCTATAAAAACAATAACTATTTTATTTATTTGAACACATAAATATTGGTACAAGAGAGAACCAAATATATATGTGCCACACAAAACGATGAGAAGTTGAAGGGAAAAAAAGAACAATAACGACCAGATTAGTGTAAGGTAGTGTATTGATAATAGTAATAATGGGGGAAACGGAAAGGTACAATTAGAAGAAAACTTTCAGTTAAGGAAGATACAACCACTTTTATGAAGAAAGTAAAAGAAGGTCACAGCAGGATCGCCAATGGCTTCTATTCTAAGCCATATCTGATAACATCTCTACCTACTAAGTCGCACCATCTCTCGGACCCCAGCCAGGGAGTCATGAAGGACCAACACAAGCCAGCCCTTTGTAACTTTCTTAAATACCACGACACCACGTCATACACTGACCACCTATCCGCCTTTTACAACCAGTCCCAGAGTCGGCAAATAATGCACGACGTGGAATTCACTGGGATAACATTCGTAGAACATGTCCAAGCCACCGAAGTCGATGTTTCAAGATAGTGACAACAATTGAATTATCGTCTCTGTGCCCGAACACACGATGCCGGACCTCTGTATTACTAACATGGTGTTGCCACTTGATGTCAGCAATCCTTCGGAGACAGCGATGATCGAGCACAGATAGTCGTCTAACATCCCCAACTCGGAGAGGCCATGTTTCAAAAGCATAGAGCAGAGCTGCTCTCACTGACGCGTTGTAGATCCGAACTTTTACAATGGAGAGAGGTGGTTGTATGCCCTCACTCTGACTGAAGTGTTTGTATGTAGGGCTTTTAGGATGTTAATAAACTTCTCAGGCACACCCTTCTTCAATAGACAATCCCAGAGAACAGTTCTGTCCAACGAATCGAAGGCAGCCCTGATATCAAGAAACACTACGATTGTTGGCCTTTGATAAGTATGACGGTGTTCTAACACTTGGCGGAGGGTGAAGATATGATCAATACATCCTCGACTAGAATGAAACCCAGCCTGCTCTTCGCGAGTCAATCTTTCTCGGGTTTTGAACAACCTACGAAGTATAACGGAAGCCAATAGCTTGGACGCAATCGAAAGTAGACTTATCCCCTGATAGTTGTTACAGAAACGACGTGAACCATTTTTAAAGATAGGGACAATTATCGACTCATTCCATGACGTTGGTACACTCTCTAACTTCCAGACCTTTTTAAACAACACAGTCAGTTCCTTGGCCAGAAAGTCACCACCATCTTTAAAAAGAGCCGGAGGTAAGTCATCTGGGCCCGGAGATTTGTAGCGCAAGCTTTGCCCAATTTCATTACGTAACATCCTTTGTTTGTGGTCAAACTCCCGGTCACCCGGAGTAGACCGACGGGCTTCGATCAGTTGTAAGGAACCAGAAGAAACCCAGTGCTTATAAGTAGGACGTTTTGCGAACCCACAACTGACTTTACTCGCCATTTTCATGGCGTCATGCAATTGCAACCAATGCTCATCTATACTCTTCGGTGGAATGGTAGCTAGCCTAGAAGCTAGCTCGGTTCGATACCTATTAGCAACAGAAGTTGCAACCAACTTGCTGACATCAATCCTTTGGTGGCGGTCACTTCGTTGGCCACTGAAAGGTAAGGTAACATTGGCACAGACCAGGGCATGATCAGAGTCCAGATAGGTACTCGAAAAGGAGCGGCAGTCTTCTACACAACCACGCCAGCGGTAGCTGATTGCGATATGATCAATCTGAGTACAGGCTTGAGATGCAGAGGGAGGACGCCAGGTAGCCCATCAGCGATGACTGTGCCGAGAGTTAGTGCTAACCAGAAACAGGTTGTGGTCTGTGCACAGTTGCAGTAGACGGTCCATGTTATCTGTCCTGCGACCAACAAGTCCCCATCGGCCAGCTAAACGATTCTCTTCTGTGCCTAGACGCCCAACCTGAGCATTCAAGTCTCCGCCTAGTACTACAATATCTATCGAACGCAATTTCTGGGGAAGAACAGTTAACTGGTGGTAGAATTCATCCTTGATTGCATCCGGGCTGCAATCTGTCGGGGCATAGGCGGAGATGACGAAAAGACATCGTTTCTCACGCCGATTTCTCACTTTGATGGTACTTTCTAATCTAACAGCACATAACCGACTGTTAATGGGGATGCAATCGATTAGTGCTGCCTCAGTTCTAGCGCTTAGTGAGACACCAACGCCAGCAAGACTAGACGAAGATGCCACAAGGTTCCTGGATAAACAAGTCAGTATTCGTATTTGGTGGTAGCATACAATTTTCAATCAGGCAGTGACTTGAGAACGTTTAGATAGAACCGAGTTTCTTCCATAGGCGAGCTGTTGTATAAGTCGAAAGATACAGATACATAAAGTGGGAATGAAAGAGAGTGAATAAATGACGTAGTAAATAATAATAATAATAATAATAATAATAATAATAATAATAATAATAATAATAATAATAATAATAATATGAATTGTTTGGCTGTAAATCGACGCGAGAACAGAAGTTTCGGTAAATATCATCGTTTCCATTTCAATTGTGTGTGGACTGTGATACTGCACGGGTGCCCAGACCAAAGCAGGTGGCTTTCTTAGGGGGCCACAACCCGAGCCTTTGACCTAAAGGTCTGATCCACAAGGCAGTGGAGCATCGTGAGGAGATGCAGTCCCATGGTAGCCGGTGACCAACGATTGGTTCATACGCCATTTTTTCCCTCAGGATACTGGAGCCAATTAATTCGTGACCAGATGTAGGCAAAAGTTAGTAATGCTTTAATAGTTTACTCGAACTAAGTGTGTGCTACTTATATCGATATAAGTAGTACATTACTTTAGTCGTGAACAGAATGTCTGGCAGCAGAGAGACAAGAAGATCGAACAGTAAAGAATGAAAACAGAATGCAATTTGTGTGAGAATGCAAGAACAAAGGAAGTCTGAGTCATTTGAGATAATTGATAGACATTTTGCAAATTAAGCATTTACTAAATGATTATTAGATTTTATTAACAAGTTTTGTATTTTTTTGTAAAATACATTCGATTGCCACCACTAGTGTTTTTGTTCACTACAAGTGGTTTGTGAATGTTCATACCTCCTGAATAGAAATACGAGCAGACAGAAACATCAATATAAACAGTGTGAGTCTATGGAATGATACAAAACTTATCCTTTAAAGTTGCATAGGTGAGGCTGTTGCTCATGAGTTTGTGGTGCACATATATCTGGTGTCCCCTTGTACCAATATTTATGTGTTCAAACAAACAAACAACAAATTCTCATGAATTACATACAAATGAACAGTTTTGGCTTAATTTATCTGATACATAACAAGTGCAATCTTGGTTCTGGATTTGTCAAGTGACATGAACTGTTTTTGAGGTAAACAAAGGTAGATTATATCTTAGTTGTGGAGTCCACATGTGTGTTCAAGTGTATTCAAATACTACTTTAAATAAATGAACCATAGAAACCATGTTTTTAGGTTATCCAGAATGTACCCAACCGTTGTTTCTAACTTGACGTGGTGGTCGGGCTTGTCTATCGTGATGACCCGACCGAGCTATATTGGCTGGAACAACCGTCCCTCAAGGTCCTATCATGTCAGGCAGGTCGGTAAGACTAAAAGCAACAAATCCAAGGTCCGAAGGCGAAGTCGTACTGCTGACTGTACAGAGGTGTGACAGCAGTAAGGTGTTTCCTTCAGACAACCAGCATGACAGCCATGCTGCCTTCCCACAAGAAGGGGTGGGGTTAGAAAAGGTCGACCCTAAAAATGCACATCTCGACTTATCCCACGGATATCCGTCTCCTGCGGTAAGGTCTCAAAAAGTACAGAGCCAACACAAAAATTACTCATAAGAAGGTCGTGTGTGACCAATCTCAAGCATCTGTCCCTTGGGCACTGTGGTCACTCTCTCAGGTCACTATGACCACCTCTAATCCAATTTCCTTTTCAGGTACCTCCACCAGAAACCTTCCATGGTGTGGGCGACCGGGAAGTGATAACCGCCCTCATACCTCTAATAGCACTCAAGACCAATGTACCTTTAATCCAGAATGTAAGGACACATTTCTACGTTGTTTACCAATAAGGAACGCTTTAAAAAATCTATCATTCAGTATACTCTCGTTCAAAAAATAGCTTCAGGTGGAAACGAGCGGAATAAAAGTGAAATTAACTACGGAACAAATTGACTAAGTAGACAATGTGTATGACTTTCTAACGGTACGTGGACAAACAATTTTTACTCTAGGAACCAATAGTTAACAACGTGTGTTGTAAAAATAAATACATCTAATGGTGCAATTATAATAGAAACGCTCGTAGCTTCATGATTTGAATGTTACAATCTGACCACATCCAGGGGAACCTACAATAACAACCAAGTGGGGATCTCTGATAATTATGTTGTCACAACAAATGTGTAACTTTAAAATATTAAAACTTGAAGAATGTCAAAAGCCTCCTAGTTGAACGATGGCTGAATTCTGAGGTTAGACTTACATATTATATGTACTATGTACTACACAAGATACTTTATCCATTGAATTAATAATATCTGCAACAACCCACCATAGCAACGAACAAACCAACTTTTATCTGAGGAGGAAATTAGGAAAAGACGCTAGAGGTGAGTAGGAGATACACTGCAGAAATCATCAAACTGAATCACGAGGCAATCCCTAACCTGGAGTCCTGAAGACAAAAGGAAAAAAGGGGACCGAGAAACACGTTACATAGGGAATTTTGGGCAGACGTCAAAGAAATAAGTAACAGTTGGAAATAACGGGAAAAGAACCCAGGAAAGAGTTGGTTGGTGAGTCCTAGTCGGCAGCCTATGATCCACTAGGCGTTACAGGCGTAAGCAAGTAAGTATACCACACATCGACATATCACCTGCATTTATTTTGTAATGCTTTTAAATAAAGATATATAATTCTTTTTTTATTTCGTGTCAGTAGCTGA